TTCTCCCCGGGGGGGGGGGTCTTTTCTGTACCAGGGGGAGGAGTCTTCTCTGTACCAGGGGGAGGAGTCTTCTCTGTACCAGGGGGAGGGGTCTTCTCTGTAACAGGGGGAGGGGTCTTCTCTGTACCAGGGAGTGGAGTCTTCTCTGTACCAGGGGGAGGAGTCTTCTCTGTACCAGGGGGAGGAGTCTTCTCTGTACCAGGGGGAGAAGTATTCTCCATATCAATGGGAGGAGTCTCCTTTGTACCAGTGAGAGGGGTCTTCTCTGTACCAGGGGGAGGAGTCTTCTCAGTATCAGTGGGAGGAGTCTTCTCTGTGCAAGGGGGAGGAGTCTTCTCTGTAGGGGGGGAGTCTTATCTGTACCATAGGAAAGAGTCTTCTCAGTATCAGTGGAAGGAGTCTTCTCTGTACCAGGGGGAGGAGTCTTCTCTATACCGGGGGGAGGAGTCTTCTCTGTACCAGTGGGAGGAGCCTTCTCTGTACCAGTGGGAGGAGTCTTCTCGGTTTCAGTGGGAGGAGTCTTCTCTGTACCCGTGGGAAGAGTCTTCTCTGTACCAGGGGGATTTCTGATCGACTTTCTGCTCTTAAGCTTTCTATAAATGCAGATCTATAGGAATTGAGGGATTATTGTGGATCAATCATCCCGTGTGAATGATTGGTCGGATGAAGACCCTCCATTGGCACTGGACCGTTTTCTCCTGGATTTGGCTTTGGCGATTCTTTGTTGGTGTATAAGGGGAATGTCATTGGTTTTATCTCAGGAAGGTCCAATCAGACGCCTCCTATAACCAATCTCAGGATCTATACGTCCACATTGTATTGATCGGTTTGATTGATGTCATTGCCGTCATCTCTCTCGTCTGTCTCTTTACAGCTTCGCTTCCTGTCAGATCCGAGTCATCATTTTTCCATCAGAGTCGTACTAGAGGTGAGGAGCCCTCGTGGTCTGGTCTGGGACATGGAGGGGTTGACCAGGACGCTTATTTATAATCTATCAGGAGAGATTCTTTTCTCTTATTCCATGCTGATTTGTTGTAAATAACACAATTTATACGTCCCGTCTGTCCAAACCCCGGCGCCCCTCCGTCAGAGGACGAGGACTACACGACACCCTTCCTCCCTTCGTCATCCGCATTAAACATAATCCAAGATAATTCCTTTATTTCCCTCTATATAATATATCAATATGATGAATGCAGTGCCCTAATATAGCCATAGCAGCCCAGGCGGCTGCTATGGGGCCCGGTGGTGGAAGGGGCCCCTATTGGGTTGTTGAGGTAAATTAAACATAGAGCGTGTGAAGATATCACGGAACTGTATCAGGAAGGGTTGGAGCGGATGACAACCCTCATCCTCTGCAACGTCTACACTTTAGGATGCACAGGAGGAGTCTTTGAGATCTTGGAGTCATTAGTAGGGGGGGGCCCATCACATATTTGCTATGGGGCCCCGTGAGCTGTAGTTACACCCCTGGATTGATCCTTAGTCTATCTATCACATGCAGCTTTGTCTTAAAGTGTATCTAGAGCCAAAATGACTTGAGGAGGAGTGATGAAGGGTCTGCCCTCTGTGTCCACTCGGGGAGATTTCCCTTTACTTCCTGTCCTACAGACACAACAGGAAGCCAAAAGAGATCTCTCCACAGTCTTTGAGACAGCCGGGGGCAGATTAGATGCCCCCACTGGAAGATTCCCCAGTGGTGAGCAATAGAGAGAGGGAGACGGTGAATCTTCTTGGTGGCGGTTAGGAGGAGACACATCACCATCACTCCAGCCACCAATCGGGACTGTCTTCCTTTTATTGCTTCCGCAGATCTTAGACTGTCCACCAGAGGAAGGTAGCTTCAAGGCTGCAGATAGCAATAACAAATATGGTGTATAATCCTTCCGCACCTCACATATATAAATCCCTCACAGCGACCTCATGGCCAGATGGTGGTTCTTCTGGCACATTTGTTGCGTTGCTGGGCGTCGGGCGCCACTGAAACTTTACAAAAAGTACCAAAATGTGCCGCAAATTGCCGACGATCATTTGTTGATCTTTCCCCAGAAATCCATCAGCCATGGGTGATGGTGAGATGGCGGTTTTTGGGGTGGCAGCCCCTTTCCTCCGCAAACCTGAAAAGGAGAGGATAGAGGCCCAAACCCGCCCCTTTGATGCCAAAACCTCCTACTTCGTGGTGGACCCCAAGGTGATGTACGTGAAAGGCGCCATCCAGTCCAGAGAGGGGGGAAAAGTCAACGTGAAGAAGGAAGACATGTCCGTAAGTCGGGAGCAGCCAAGCGTCGTCCCGCGCAGAAGACGCGTTGGTAATATGGGCTTTCAGCGGTGTTTTTATATCGGCTCGTCCTTTTCCGCAGACCGTAACTGTGAAGGAAGATGAAATTTTCCCCATGAACCCCCCGAAGTACGACAAGATTGAAGACATGGCCATGATGACCCACCTGAACGAGCCCGCTGTCCTGTATAACCTCAAAGAGCGTTACGCAGCCTGGATGATCTACGTACGTTGGGTCGCATTTTGCGTGACGTGCTGCTCCAGCTCTACACAATCCTTTACCGCATCTAACACACTTCTTCCATCTTCTCACACAGACCTACTCCGGACTCTTCTGTGTCACCGTCAACCCCTACAAGTGGCTCCCCGTGTACAACCCCGAGGTGGTCGCTGGATACAGAGGGAAGAAGCGTCAGGAGGCTCCGCCCCACATCTTCTCCATCTCTGACAACGGCTATCAGGCCATGCTGACTGGTGAGTGACAACAAATAACCCTTACATCCCGTTCGGCCAATGAGTCTTAGTCTTCAGGCCATCAGCTGTTTGATGGTTTCATTAGAACAACGATATGCCCTAAAAATAAATGATTAAAGGAGAACTATGGGGTCGGGGCTTTCCCCATAGTTCTCCTCGGGGTCACAAACTAGCGTCCTACCGTCACCCTAGGCTCAGTATATAGGGAGCTACAGCTCGCGGTATACTGAGACGCCGCAGCCGGAGCGGATCCCGGCGTAGATGGCGGGATCCGCCCAGCTGCGTGAGTGACAGCTGTCTCCTCCTATCTAGAGGCAGAGCCAGCTGTACCCGCCCCCTCCCCCGTCCGTTCCGCCAGTCAGCGCTGGAGGATCGGAGGGGGGAATCCCTGCAGAGAGCCGTGACAGGATCGAGAGGTGAGCGAACGCCGGTATGTGTTCCCTCCCGATCTACTGAGCCGACCTGTGACAGTCTCATTGTCAGTGAGTGAGGGCGGAGCCCCCCCCCCCCCCCTCATAGATCTCCTTTAAGTTTGGTCCCTGTCCCAAAGACGTACATGGGCCGCCACGGCTGACCGCCCTCTGAAAATGTTGGTTGCTTGGCCGTCAATTCAGTCTAGAGGCTTCCGTGTTCCCTATTACTGACCTGAAACAAGTGTGCAGATCTGGAGCTCTGACTCCCCCGCTGACTGCACTGGGTTTAGACTTGTTCCGGGTCAATGTCTAGGAAGCCAAGGACCCGGGTTCTCCAGAAGATGAACTGACCGGCCACATCATTCTCTCGCAGTTAGCGCGCTCCAAGAAAGTCGGAGGCTCCCTGTAGTTGTTAGGCCCCTAACTGAGCTACCACCAGTCCAATGCGGCACTGCGCCTCCTAAGGGAAGAAGGATGAAGACGCGGCTGGGGATTATGTGGTTTATCTGGAGGTCTAATACTATGTATATTCCTTCCCTTCCCCCACAGATCGTGAGAACCAGTCCATCCTGATCACGTGAGTTCACCTTCTTATCTCTGCATCACTAATGACATTTATTAATTAATGCCTTTATAACGCTGACCTGGTAATTGCCGAGAGTCCACCGCATGGCATCTTTAACTCTTCCTCCCATATACCATAGGGTGTCCTCAGCCCATATACCATAGGGTGTCCTCAGCCCATATACCATAGGGTGTCCTCAGCCCATATAACATACTCAGCCCATATACCATAGGGCATCCTCAGCCCATATACCATAGGGTGTCCTCAGCCCATATACCATAGGGTGTCCTCAGCCCATATACCATAGGGTGTCCTCAGCCCATATAACATCCTCAGCCCATATACCATAGGGCATCCTCAGCCCATATACCATAGGGTGTCCTCAGCCCATATACCATAGGGTGTCCTCAGCCCATATAACATACTCAGTCCATATACCATAGGGCATCCTCAGCCCATATACCATAGGGCATACTCAGCCCATATACCATAGGGCATCCTCAGCCCATATACCATAGGGTGTCCTCAGCCCATATACCATTCGTACAGCTGCACACTGGCCTGTCACTGGGGTATTACAAGGCCAGGGAAGCAGCAACATTACCCTTCAAGCAAGAGCACATTGTGGATGGAGCTCCAGCCATGACAGTCCAAAAGGTCCATGATTCAGGAGAACGTTCCTCTACTTTACTGCAGCATCACGCAGATGGCAGACACAACTCCCCGGTCACGTGTCACTCTGGTGGGTTTACTAACAGGAACGTGTCTGAGATCTGAGCGATGATACAGCAAAAATCTCCTATGCTGCCTTCTTAGGCATAGGGAGCGAGTGCTGAGGGAGGTGGGAAGACATATCATACCAAGTGTATTCTATTTATATCAGAGCGGCCATTGTCCGGGGAAATACAGTACAGGGACGGAGAACGGGTGCAATATGGCAGAAATGGAGTCGGGTCTAATTGTTGGAAGGGGCTTATTACAACTTCCCCCATTAGAGCGTATGGTGCCATCATTCAGGTTTCCTGCATCTCAGTATTCGGAACTAGACGTGCGCACCACGTTCAGGGGATATACACCTTACGATAATGGCGGGAAATCCCGCGATCGTACGATTATGGTAAGGTGTGTGGAAGCCGCGCGACCTCTGCTACTGTAAGGTCGCACGACTTTGAACTTACGGACATGTTCGAAAACCCACCGAGCATCGTACGACGTTCGGCGGGTTTGTGGCATGTCCGTACGATAACAGCCGCACGGGCCGGTGTGCGCAAGCGCACACTGCCCGTTCGGCATTGCGGTCATCGGAAGCCCGCCCCTCAGGGGGCGTGGCTTGCGATCATCGCAAGTACGATCAGCCTATGCAACATAGGCAGATCGTACGTTTTTTTTAAGTACCTTACAACCATCGCAAGACAAAAGTCCTCCGATGGTTGTAAGGTGTGTGCCCGGCCTTACAGAAAATAGATAGTCCATGGTCCCATCGCACTCCTGACCGCGTGAATCCCTTCAAGAATTGGGTGCTGCGGACGTATTGCAAAATACGTCTATTTATTGACGTGAATCGTGGTAAAAAAACAACGAACGTTTCGGGACCAAAGAGGGTCAGGCTCAGGTGAGGAAAGATTCAGGTGACCCGCCGGCAGCAGGAAGGAGCAATCCTCACTTACACCTTTTTTTTTTATTCCACCAATTCTAGGGAAATCTGGAGGATCAAATCATCCAGGCCAACCCACTGCTGGAGGCCTTCGGCAATGCCAAGACTGTGAGGAACGACAACTCTTCCCGCTTTGTAAGTTGGACTGAATGACCTGACCGGGGTCTGGGCTCCGCTCTCCGCGTCCGTACCGGAATGATTTTATTATGTATCTACACAAACTGTATACCTAACGCCTCATGTTTGATGTGCAGGGTAAATTCATCAGGATTCACTTCGGCACTACAGGAAAACTGTCCTCCGCCGATATTGAAACATGTGAGTATAATGACTTCAAGTGCGTAGAAAGCCAAAATCTGAACCTTGATATATTGCTTTACACACCCCCCCCCCCTCCCGAACCCTAACAGCTTGAACAATGTTCTTTTTTTTTAAACTTTCCATCTCATGTACGTTATAAATTATTGATTATCCTAGATCTGCTGGAAAAATCCAGAGTAACATTCCAGCTGTCTGCTGAGAGGAGCTACCACATCTTCTACCAGATCATGTCCAACAAGAGGCCGGAACTGATCGGTAAGTGATGCTGCTGAATCCTTGTGTAGTGACTAGGGTTGCCACCCTTCCAGGATTCACCCGGACAGTCCGGGTTTTGAATGCCGTGTCCGGGTTTCATGGCAGCAGAAACCCAGACACATGATGTCAGGCAGACAGGGGCAACCAGAATTAAGATAGGGGCTACTGGCCCCCCCACTAAAAATAGTCTTGACAGTGATATTTACATGAGAATGGGTGACTCTATGTACATACGAATAAGCCATAATTCACTCCCCCCAAAAAATGTCAGTGTGTCACTAGAGTGTTCGGGTTTCGCTGGAAGAAAAGGTGGCAACCCTAGTAGTGACCCCAGTGGTGTGTTACAACATGAAAACCCATCAAATAAAGAAATGGACTTCAGTTGTAGTGTTTGGTTGAATGACACCTCTGCTTCTTATATATCGCCCGGGGACTCCTGCCGGGACATCTCTTGGTTCTGCTCAGTCCTCCTGCTACTTTCTCCCTAACATAGATATCCAATCAGCAGAGGGATCGGATCGTCCATAGCAGCTGGGCAGATCTAGAGATCCAAATGCAAAGATTTCACCGCAACCGAGTCAATGTGTGAATCCCGCCATTGAATAGGAATCTTAGAAGGCCTAGGTTTATAAAAATGTCAGATCTTGGGGGAATGCTTGTAGCCTATAAAGTCATTAAACAGATCTCGGGTGTAAGAAAAAGAGACTACATGTGAGAAATCTAAAGGATGTGTCCAAATAAGGATAGAAAACTGTCCCTGAACTGGTGACCTGTGATCTGGGGTGTAAACACTAAAACCTTAGGATGGACCTAAAGATCATACTATTATTAGATGAAATGCCCCCCCCCCCCGGGTAATAGTGTCTGCTACACAAGACATGTTCCTTTCTCCTTCCAGAAATTCTTCTGATTACCACCAACCCCTATGACTTCCACTTTGTCAGCCAAGGTGAGATCACCGTGGCCAGCATTGATGACCAAGAAGAATTAATGGCTACAGACGTAAGTGGACTCCGTTTTATGGAACCTTATACATACCACACATCAATTTACCACATAAGGTGTATGTATGAGTGTGTCACGGCCAAGGAGATCAGAAGTTTAATCTACTTAGTTTATGTTTAATAGAGCGCCATCGACATCCTGGGCTTCAACTCAGATGAGAAGATTGGTATCTACAAAATGACCGGTGCCGTCATGCACTATGGAAACATGAAGTTCAAGCAGAAGCAAAGAGAGGAGCAGGCTGAGCCCGATGGCACAGAAGGTGAGGCGGATATAACACTGAACACTTATAATATACAATATATGTCCTTCCTATCATTGTAGAGCTCTCTGCTTTAAAAGTCAAAAGGGAATAACATTCAAGTTCTTTCTGTTTCATAGTGGCTGACAAGGCGGCCTACCTGATGGGCCTCAACTCAGCTGATCTCCTGAAGGCTTTGTGCTACCCCAGGGTCAAAGTCGGAAATGAGTATGTCACCAAAGGTCAAACTGTCCAGCAGGTACCTACATTCTGCCTCCATGTTTTATCTTCAGGACACAAATGAAAGCGTAGTAACTGATTGGAACATTTGTTACCTTTCTTGTTAAGGTGTACAACAATGTCGGTGCCCTGGGCAAGTCCGTCTATGAGAAGATGTTCTTTTGGATGGTCCTCCGTATCAACCAGCAGCTGGACACCAAGCAGCCAAGGCAGCACTATATTGGCGTCTTGGATATTGCCGGCTTTGAGATCTTTGATGTGAGTGGCATGTCTTGATTGATACATTTATTCCCTGCCAGTGTGTTAGCTGGGAAAGGGTAACTCAGTAAATTGTCTTCTTCTGAACAGTACAACAGCTTGGAGCAGCTCTGTATCAACTTCACCAATGAGAAGCTGCAACAGTTCTTCAACCACCACATGTTTGTGCTGGAACAAGAGGAGTACAAGAAGGAAGGTATCGACTGGGAGTTCATTGACTTCGGCATGGACTTGGCCGCCTGCATTGAGCTTATTGAGAAGGTATGATTGCTACATTTTACTACCCAACATTACAAGCAGAAACTGAGAGCCTTTCAACACACCAACATGTTATTCATTTTCTATAATCAGCCAATGGGCATCTTCTCCATCCTGGAAGAGGAGTGCATGTTCCCCAAGGCAACAGACACTTCCTTCAAGAACAAGCTGTATGACCAACATTTGGGCAAGTCCAACAACTTCCAGAAACCCAAACCTGGCAAAGGCAAAGCCGAGGCTCACTTCTCCCTGGTCCACTATGCTGGAACTGTGGACTACAACATCTCTGGCTGGCTGGACAAGAACAAGGACCCGCTGAATGAGACCGTCATTGGGCTCTACCAGAAGTCATCAGTGAAACTCTTGAGCTTCCTGTATGGTGCCTATTCTGCCACTGATGCTGGTAATACATTCTGTATTCTGTATTCTGTCTTCTTTACTATCAGTGCCCATTAATATTTGCTTGGTACACTTCCAGTATATTAAGTTTTTATAAATGAATACTTTATAAAATACATCAATCTTTTCACATTAGCCTCCCCCACATCTAAAAGAATTTCCGCTGCAATGCTGTCATCAAAGTCTTACAGACATGCGCTCACAGTACTGACCTTATACCTTAGTGTTTGCAATGGCCGCATAAGATGAAAGGCCAGCGTGGGGAGATACTATTCTCCAATTCAGGAACTGAGCCTACACCCATATCACCTGCAACGTCCATCCTTCCACACGTGTCCTAACCTCATGAAATTCTTCCTGTTGCAGATGCCGGTAGCAAGAAGGG